GTAGCTCGCGGTATACTGAGCTTAGGGTAACGGGAGGACGCTAGTTTGTGTCCTCCCGTTACCCTAAGGAGAACTATGGGGAAAAGCCTTAACCCCATAGTTCTCCTTTTAAGTTCTAGAAAGTGAGGGGAACTCCAAAATGTCATCAGGATGTGACGGGGAATTCCACCATGGAGACACTTGTTAGACTTCCCATTTGTTTATAGATATTTTCACTTAATTCCTGATGTGTCTCCACAGACAGGGAGTGGTGGGTAAGCATAGACTGAGGAAGAGGGTGGTGTCCTGGAAATGGGTTAACGACTGAGACACAGCGGTGAAGCAAGTCAGGAGATACTGACGTGAACATCGTGTCTGATTCTAAAGGGAATCCCCTTTCTAAAGGTCCCATTGTGTTAGCAGTGTATGTTATTTTACCGCGCTCGTTGTTCTACGTACACTTGCGAGTACTTTTAATCATTTGTGTTTTTATCTACAATAAACGATCCTTCACATGGAGGTGGCGCTCTGTGTTTATTTCTTCTGCACTGGCAGAGGTTCTACTTCTATCACTCTAAGACCCCGTTCACATTGAGCGATTTATGGCGCGGTAATTCCCGCGATATCGCGGCAAATTACCGCGCGATATCGCGCTCCAAGGCATACCAATGGGGCAAAGGGTCATGCTGTCGCGGGTCGTGTGTCGCTACAGCAGGACCCTTTTTGGAGCGGATTTAGCCGCGATTCAAGCTTGCTCAATGCAAGCTTGAACGCGACATCGCGTCGCAAATCTCGCAATGTCGCGCAATATGCAAATCGTGCGACAAACGCGCGATTTGCATATCACGCAGTGGGAACGGGGCCTTAAGGATCATCCTACCTAAAAGTCACATTTTAGTTCTAGCCGGAGTCTGGTCACCTGCTGACAACCTTTGCAGTGGGGAGTTCTCATTGCTAAAATCTGCTTTCCTTCCCACCATCTTTGGGTTTGGGCATTGTCACCCTTTGTAATTCATCTTCCTTAAGGCTGGGTTCACACCTAGGCGTATTGTATATGCGCGTTTGTCGCGTGATTCGTGGTTAAAAAACCGTGCGACAAACGCGCGTTTCTGAGGGCTACTTGGCTGTATCCCAATGGAAACGCGAGACCAAAATGCCCCAAAGAAGTACATTTGGGCGTAGGCCGTTTTGTATCGCGTTTGGACGGGCAGAAATACGGCAAGGTGTGAACCAGACCCATTGAATACAATGGGATTTAGATGTTTGAGCGTTTTGTAGAGCGTTCGTCGAGCGTTGAACGCGCTACAAAACGTTCTGGTGTGAACCAGGCCTTACACGTGACTGACAGCTCTAGAGCCAGAGCCATCTGTCAATCAAGCAGCGGGGTGGATCCCAACAATTTTGTCTTTCCCGGCTACAGTGTGGCTCTGCGCTGTCAGCATATAGTGGGCAGTAGCCAGCTAGATGCTGACTTTGGGTCACAGGAGGACAATAATAAATGCCCTCCCCTCCTGTGACTCAAAGGAGGACTAAAGCCAAATAAAGGTTTGGCTTTACTTCTCTTTTATTCTGAGCTTCTACAAAAGACACTGGCTGTAGTTTATAGCTTTCTAGATGTCATTTTTTTTAATGTTTGGGGTTTTAGGCTCCGTTCAGACCTGGGCGGTTTGGTCGCACAGACTTGTCTGCGCTGAACCGCTGACATGAACAATCTCATACATTCCTATGGGGTCCGTTCATGCAACCCGAACCACCTGCCATCCAAAATGCTCCCTGCACTGATCAACGTGTTTTCCACGCTGCCGCCCTGGTATGAATGGGGTCTTATAGTTGTATTTTATAGTGTGAGTCTTATAGGAGGCTCAAGCAGCAGCTGGTGGAAACTATACAGGGATGTCATGGCGTAGCAAAGCTAGAATGGAGCTGCATTCGTTTCTAGGTCCTCCGCTAGGGATGCACCGATACCGATACTAGTATTGGTGCCGATGCCTAGTATTTGGGCTCGTACTCGGCAAAATACTCCGATGCCTAGCCCGATACTTCCAGTATCAGGAAGCCGGGCAGTGCATCATTACACGTTGCCCCAAAGTCCAAATCCCATTCGCACTGCCACGGTCTCAAAACCACAAGGTATATGTGGTGTCCAGGTGACCACACGGATGGCGCCGTGCAAAACACTAATAGTAAATAAAAGTAATTCACCGGCACACACTTGAAGGGTTTTTAAAGTATTAATATGTTTATTCAATACCCAATGTCACATACTGTCATACGGTGCTGGAGCATACTGTATGACAGTATGTGACATTGGGTATTGAATAAACATATTAATACTTTAAAAACCCTTCCAAGTGTGTGCCAGTGAATTACTTTTATTTACTATTACACGTTGCCCGCCTTCCTGATTGCCCGGATAGCCGGCTCCATGCTCTCTCATCACTTGTGGAGCCCGCTTCCCGGCCAATCAGGAAGCCGGGCAGCGTGTAATGACGCTTTCTCGTCACCTAGTGATGTGAAGTATACAGATGGCTTCCCTGCTAATCAGGAAGCCGGGTGGCGAGTCTTTACACGCTGCCTGGCTTCCTGAATGGGACTTCCGGTACTCGGTATTTGGTATCGGCGAGTACCAGGAAAAAGAATATCGGTACTCGATACTGAAATACTGGTATCGGTGCATCCCTATCCTCCATTATGGGCAGTGCAGCTGTCATCCCTTCTGCATTGCATGAGATGCTGATCGCACAAAATCATGTTCAGCACCCAAAAAACCTTTTGCGTTTAGTGTGGTCACAGATTTTTCTCAGCCACAAAAATTTTTCATCATCACAAAAATGTTCGCACACAACTCTGATCACCAACAATCCTTTCTTGTGTTCGTGGTGAATATTGCGTGTTCCTAAAATTCGCTTTCCACTTTTTTTTTTTTTTTGCCTCAACAAACATGTTTTGCAACCAAAATATTTCATTTCCCCAAAGACACTTTCAGTTCTATTCATAAATGTTTTCACGCAAGGATTGTTACAACTGAATCCAAAAATAGAAATTGAAAGAAAAAAACTTTGGCTACCTTGTGTGAAAGTGTTTACAAACACTTCTGCTGGAACATGAAGCTCTGCAGAATGAACTTTGGGCCGAGTATTAAAAGAAAAAGATTAAAGAGTAACTTGTACTGATCCATATCAGCCGACCAGAGGGTTTCTTTATTGTTCCTGGCGAAATCTGTTGTGTTTGGCGGCTCAGAAGGCAAAAGTAAAAAAAACTTTTTTCTTACAACATTTAATATTTATTAGTATTTGTAATTGCAACATTGTGTTTTTTTTTATAGATCTATATAACATGATACCCAAATCCCTCTAAATCACGCCTAGAATATTTCAACAATAGACATTAAAATAAATCCCTGATAAGTTGCCTAAATTCCCACAAGCCAAGTAAGTACAACCACCAATCCAACTACGTATGCTATCGTGTGGAATCAACAGTCTCAATATATCCCGAGGGGGTGTGACTGACATCATTTTTCAATGCAACAACATTTACGGTGGGCGGCCATTTAGCAAACACAACCCGCGTTGGAGGAAGCCGGTCAGTGGTCAGTCCTCTTCTGATATACAAGGTTAGAGGTGGGATAATATTTAAGTTTATTTGAATTTTATTGTGTCCCACACATTGTATGCTACCCACCATTTTCCGAGTTCTCTTGATAATTCCCTCAAAATTCCTTTTAGACTTTTGAGAATTCTGTATGAACTTGGCATGAAGTCATCTACTACCTGTACGTAATGAGAGAAGACTTTTGGGGGGTTTTGTTCCTGCCTGTAGACTACAAATAGCTCCCTCACAGTTGGTAAGGTATTCTTACACTGGAAACCTTTGCATGTCATTGGCTGTCAGTAACCTTGCTATTCCTTTTTTTTTTTTTTTACTTGGCTGTAGAGGCACATTTAACCCTTTATATCTCCCCCCAAGTTACTATTCTCCCAATATAAAATGATAAAGTTTTGAAGGCTAATGGGGTAAAAGGCTTTCCCAGAGACAGAAAATGTTATACCTTTTATATCCACTCAGAAAAGCTACAACTATCTGGAAAAAAAAACATAACATAAGCACTTCACTACCTCACATTCAAAAAGCCAGAGGTCTCCAAAATGTTGAAGACGCAGCCTTTACCGGTTTAAAGTGTTATTGTCTTCGTAAAATATCAGTTGGGTCACTAAAAAGATCTGTGTTGGAGGTATATTCATGCATGGGAAGTCATATTCTAATCCAACGCTTTGGTACGAAGAAGACTACAGATACTGGTCTGTCCAGGAGTCATGGTGTAATCTTAGAACCATCGGACATTTGAGGCTTAGAACCATAACACTTCTGGTCCAAGAGAGGCAGTGGAAGCTTAAAACCATGGAACATCTGGACCACAAGGGGCATTTGAAGCTTAGAACCATGACATTTCTAGCTCAAGAGAGGCCATGGAAGCTTATAGCCATGGAAAATCTGGACCACAAGGGGCATTTGAAGCTTAAAACCATGAAACTTCTAGCTCAAGAAAGGCCATGGAAGCTTAAAACCATGGAACCTCTGGACCACAAGGGGCATTTGAAGCTTAGAACCATGGAACTTCAAGCTCAAGAGAGGCCATGGAACAACTGGACCACAAGGGGCATTTGAAGCTTAGAACCATGAAACGTCTAGCTCAAGAGAGGCCATGGAAGCTTAAAACTATGGAACCTCTGGACCACAAGGGGCATTTGAAGCTTAGAACCATGAAACGTCTAGCTCAAGAGAGGCCATGGAAGCTTAAAACCATGGAACCTCGGACCACAAGGGGTATTGGAACCTTAGAACCATGGATCGTCTGCACCACAAATGCTTTGAAGCCTTAGATCCATGGAATGTCTGGACCAAGAGGAGCAATGGAATCTTGAAGCCATGAAACTTCTGGACCAAGAGAAATGTTGGAAGTTTAGAACCATGGAACCTTTGTACTTTTTGATCTACTTGTTTTACAGCTAGTTTCTGAGTACAGATAGATGTGTTAGATTTTTTTAGAGACCCAAACCAATACTTTACAATACAACGTTGGATAGGCTGCTCTAGAAAGTGGTCACTAGTCCAAAGTTTATGCCTTTCAGTGTAGAAAACTTTCTAGTTGCTGCGGAGTCTTTGACTTCTGGCCTTGTAGACCTCAATGAGGAGGTCTTTCACATACTGGATCTCTCTTTCGATGGAGTCAGACTTTTCTTTCAGCTCCCTGTTTCGGACTTCCAAGCCCTGACATTCATCATCCAGTGCGTCGTATTCGGCGCGCTTGCGTTGGCGATAGCGGAGCGCTGCCGTCTTGTTCTGGTCTCTTTTCTTCTGTTTGCGGTCACCTTTTGGTTGGATTGAGACAGAGGAGCTGGTGCTGGCGGTGGCGGGGCGGTCGTACGGGGTAGGCCTGTTCAGTCGTTTGGTTTGTGCTGGCGGGTCGTTGGTGTCGTCGATCACCATAAAATCCTGCTCTTCTTCTTCTGGGAAATCACTTGGAACATCTGTGTATAGATTCATGAGCTCCAGGCATCCGGAATCTAGGGTGTTCAGTGCCACGGGAGCAGGTGCTGTTGCTTCTGTGATGTACGCAGGGAACTCTACTCCTCTCCCACTCAGCTGCTGGTCGGGCGTTGGAAAGAGGAAGTGGATTTCATGAGAAGGAGGGGTGCTGGGAGCTACTTGATCATGGGGCACTGGAAGCCCAGGGGAGAGTGTCTCCTCCAGGAAGTAATCTTCCATCTGCTCCAGCTCCCTCTTCAGGAGGGTGGCCATGATCTCCAGGTCCGGGGCGGAAGGCCCTGGCATAGATGGATCCACCGTCACTGGCAGAAAACATGAAAAATCCACCCTTTCCGTCATCCAATCCGTGAATCCATCCCCTGGAAAGAAAAAGAAATGGAGAAATTAGTATGTAGGCCAAATACACAACTTCTATGTACGAGCTGGTACGAGTTCTTTAAAAAAAAAAAAAAAAAATCAGTTTTAGGCTTCTGTTAGGCCTATATAGATCAACTTTTTAGCACGATCTGGTGCGAGTGTGACCATAAGGCGCACCTCTATCTATGGGGGCAGTAAAGTGTACCTTGGGGTACCTGCAGGTATATAAAGATAGTGAGCCAACACTTACAAACCATATCAGACACTTCCTTTTGCTATCTCGTGTTGCGGCTGAGAGAACTTCATATCTGAAGCAAATAGTGACCATCTCCTGTGGGCTCCAGCTCTGACTTGACCCAACCTTAGCTTCCCGTTATCCTATCACCATGATGGGCGGCCCAACCCATAGCAAAATGATGGAGTGAGTGGTTACAGCATTTGTGGAACCTGGTAGCTGTGTGTACAACAGAGATCCCCGTTTTTTGGGGTTCCCAGAGCACTGACCTCTTCTTCTGAGAAATGCTAGCTGCCTGGCTTTTATGCTCATCCACAGGCTTCAATGGGAACAAGCATACAGCAAAGGAAAGTCCTTATCTGGCTACTTGTTTTGGGTCAATGACACAAAGAAGCCAGAAGATCACTATGTGAGCCCAGCAGATAGCAAAGGTCATAGATGGCTTCCTCGTAGGTTTCCTTTAGGATTGCCCACCAAGTACATTGTAGACAGCAGAATATTAGAGGGTCAGAGCACCTACCTGCCAGGCATCCTCCCTCGGCCCCGTGCACATTCACCCCATCCTCCATGGGCACTGATAGGTGTTCATAGTGATTTCCATGAGCAGGGATCTTAAGGAGATCTGCCCGCCAGTGCAGAGTGCTAACTGGCACCATAGACATCTCCAGGTCCAGATTCAAAGCCGCCAGGAGAGACATTTTGACCGGGATTATTCAGGTTGAGGCCGGGGAGTTGGTCGGAGGCACGATTCCTGCTGTAGTTGGCAGCGGAAGGCGCAGAGCAAGGAAAGGACCTGCCAAGAAAAACCAGAGCAGATACAGCTTAGCTCATCCTTATAATCTTGTGTTCATACAATATGACTCAACAGTCCTGGACATAAATGGTGACCCTACTTCCCAACATCCGGGGCCGGCTGATGCCCAGGAACCAAAAGGCCCGAGGCGTGCTGGGTAGATAGGTCTGGTAGTTCCTCAACATGACGCCCCTCACTCATGGCATTGGACCTCATTGGTGTGTATTATACATTCACTAAACTCTTTATACATCTGCTGTCATTTCAGTCCTTGTCTTCATGGCGCTAAAACCCTTCCGGACAAAGCCAAACATATTCTAGAGAATGTATGGGATTGACTAACTCAACATTAAAGTGACCCTGTCACCAATTCAAAAATTGGCAAGTATTTCAATACGTCCTTTCCCAAAAAATGTTTTTCAATTGACTTTCAATGTGCCTTTGAACGTGTTAGAGATTTGACACTTCAGGAAGAGTCAATTTGCTAGCACAGTCCCCTCCCACATTGTATACCATCACCCTCTCCTGTCCCGGGAGGGTCTAATTATTGTCTGTGCTCCTCAACCCCTCCCTACTTAAAGGAGAACTATGAGGTGAGTGCTTTTCACTCATCCTCATAGTTCTAGCCGACCTGTGACAATGAGACTGTCACAGGTCGGCTCAGTAGATCGGGAAGTGAGCGAACACATACCGGCGTTCGCTCACCTCTCGATCCTGTGGCGGCAGAGAGCTGTGACAGGGGAGGGACTGGATTCCCCTCTCCCCGCTCCGATCCTCCAGCGCTGGCTGGCGGAACGGACGGGGGAGGGTACAACTGGCTCTGCCTCTAGATAGGCAAAGCCAGCTGTCACTCACGCAGCTGGGCGGATCCAGACATAGTTGTCTGGATCCGCTTCAGCTGCGGCGTCTCAGTATACCGCGAGGTATACTGAGCCTAGGGTGACGGGAGGACGCTAGTTTGTGTCCTCCCGTTACCCTAAGGAAAACTATGGGGAAAAGACCTAACCCCATAGTTCTCCTTTAACCTTTTGTGTAGCTGCCGGTGACACTTTAGTGACAGTCCTGAGTCTACTGGGGCTGCTGACATCACATCCAAGATGGCGGCACCCAGCAGCAGTCTCGGGGGTTTTGGGTGTCTACACAAAGGGAGGATTCCACAGTAAACAACATGCGTGTTGTACACACTGAATTTTTATTCCTAATCAAATATTGTGGATTTTATAACATGTGGCCTTGTGGTGACCTTCATATTAGGACATTCTGATTTGCATATTGCTATGCATGTCATTGTTTAAATTGTAAATAAAGCTATTTGATTAGTTTGTTTTTTTTTAAATCGGGAGCTATTATGATTCCTGTTAAGTTTTTATTGACTGTGTCCCATCAGGGGAACTTCCCTACACTTCCTGTCTCCTAGACAGCACAGGAAGTAAGAGGAAATCTCTCCAATGCCAGCAGAGATTCCCCATTAGATGTTACTGGAACAGATGTCCCCATTGGAGGATTTGCCATCACTTCCTGTTTCTGTGACAGCTTATAAGTGTTGGATTTCTCATAACTTTCTGCCGTGGTCACCAGAACCAACAGAAGGTGCGAATGTCCCAGTGGTGGTCACAGGCAGCTCTTCTAAGGTCAGCTTGAATAGGGGCTGGGGGTGCCAGGAGGGAAAGCGCCAAAAGCAGAACATATAAAGTCCAGAGTCATTTGATTCCCAGTCTTGTATCATAAAAAGTCAGGGCGTTTCTGGTGTTCAGAGGGCCTCCCTTCACCAGGGTTTATTGTTGAACAAATATTGGAGCGGAATTTATTATGATCCCTCCAGACGTTGGCTCAGCTTAACGAGCAATCATACTAATTACCCATCAGGATCCCTACAATTCTATCATAATATATGCCAAGCCCTGATGAAGGGGGACTCCGAAACGCGTTGGCTTTTTTATTATATGAGTGTTGACTTTATAAGTTCTGCTTTGGGCACTTCTCTCCCCATGCACACCCAGCTATTCAAACTTGACAGGTTATAAAACTCATTCTGGGCTTTCCATAGACCTCAGTGCTGAGCTTTCCGGTCTCAGTTGCCGGGGGACCTCTAGGGGAGTGATGCATTGTGGGACTGTAAAAGTTTATAAAGTTATTTTACAAAGAATGATAGAGGGAGCGGAAAGAATCCTTTGTATCTGCATTGGATGTTACGGGCTCCATTCGCAAAGCTTTAACACAAGAAATAAGTATCTTCATGTCAGTCATGTGGTCATGTGACTGTCGTTTGTAAATCCCATTGGACTCATGGGACAGAACTGTCACTCTTTATGATACAAGTCTCCTCCTCCTCCTCCTGGTGTGTGATTGGAGCCTCGTGTAGTACAGAGATCTATATAGATATATATATTAATGTTCCTCGGGACACTTCCTTTAAGGAGTGCTGACCTCAGACAAATCGAGAGCGGCCATCTGTGTTAGTGACAGGACGGAAGATGAGACGAGGCAGTTCTAGGAAAAGGCCGGAGCCAGGTCTAAGTTTATCCGCGCTGGCTGGTTATTAAGTAACAAGTTCAATGCTAAAAGATGCTTGCAACATCACCAGCCTGCCGCGCAGTTCGGGGGAATCTGCCGAGGACGCGGGATTGGTGGAATACGGC